TATACTACAGTGATGGGTTGTTCCCGGTTCGCACCGGTTCACAAGAACCGGTAGTAAAAATTTGTAGTAGTTCAGAGAACCGGTAATAACATTGGGTGGCCACGCCCCTGAACCAGTCCCCGGCCCAGTCGCCGCTCGCTTACCCCGCCTACCTCATGAACCTACAACCTTTTTTTTTTAACTTTTAAAAGCATTTTTTCTACAACCTCTTCAGCCGAAAAAATGCTTTTAAAAGTAAAAAAAAAAAAGCGCCTCTGATGATCACGGGGCTCAGCTGGGATCGTCAGAGGCTCCTAAAAGCACTTTTTTCTGCAACCTCTTCGGCCGCGCAGGTGGCATTCACGCATGTTCATTGCATGTGCAAGAACCGCATGCATGCGTAAATGGTGCAATTGTGCGCACCATAACACGGTGGGGCGCACGCAAAAGCTGCGCACATGCACAGGTGGTGTGGTTGTGCGCATGGGGGAGGAGCCGCGCATCAGCGTGGATGGCACATGCGCAAGCAAAGCGCAGGAAGCACATACGCGTTCGGCACTCGGTGATTAAAAGGTTCGCCACCACCGTTCTAGAATATTTCATTCTTCTAGGAGAGGGGCGGATGCTAACCTCCTACACCCATTTTACAGCCTTCTGACAAGCAAAGTCAACAGGGAAGCTAGGTTCACTTCACAACTTTTATTATTTATTTATTTATTATTTATTTATTGGTTCAATTTATATGCCGCCTTTCTCCGGAGACTCAGGGCGGCTTACAATGCGTTAAGCAATAGCCTTCATACTTTTGTATATACCTGCTTAGTAGGGCTTTCGGCCCCCCCAAGCGGCGTTCTTTTTTATACAAAGTCAGCTTATTGCCCCCACAATCCGGGCCCTCATTTTACCTACCTCGGAAGGACGGAAGGCTGAGTCAACCTTGAGCCTGGTGAGATTCGAACTTGCAGTAATTGCAGGCAGTTGGCAGCTAAGTGCTATTTAACAGCGTTTTAGTCCGCTGCTTCACCAAGGCTCTTGTTTTAGTGAAGAACTTCATAATATGAGGCACCCTTCTCCATATGAGTTCCTGGAGAAAACATCTTCACGTGAAACCACAACTTACTTACTTTCTTTCTTTCTTTCTTTCTTTCTTTCTTTCTTTCTTTCTTTCTTTATTTATTTATTTATTTATTTATTTATTTATTTATTTATTTTTATATGCCGCCCTTCTCCGGAGACTCAGGGCGGCTTACAATGCGTTAAGCAATAGCCTTCATACTTTTATATATACCTGCTTAGTAGGGCTTTTGCCCCCCCCCCCAAAGCGGTGTTCTTCTTTATACAAAGTCAGTTTATTGCTCCCACAATCCGGGTCCTTTTTTAACCAGAAAAGGCCTTAAAAAAGATGGGGGGGGTGGTGGCAAAATTCACTTAAGAAATGTCTCGTTTAGCAACAGAAATGTTAGGGGCTCCACGGTGACCTTAACACGAGGATTAGCTCTACTGGTTTAGCGAAGCCCAGTTTGTAAATTTTGGCCTTTTTGTGCTCACACCTGCCGGCTTGAAACATTTCAAACCAGATTTAGAATTCAGTTCCGCTTTTGGTAAAAGTTTGCACGACGGGTCTCTCTTTACGGAGATGTCCCGAGTCAGCTTCCAAACATTCTTGAGTTTTTCTGGTCTCACTCACTCGGCCTCTTCTCTTACAAAGGAAAAAATATCATCATTCAAAAAGGAGCTACTTGGTCATCAATCTTCCGAGAGACACCTTAGTTTATTCTCTCCGCCGAGGCTGCCAAAAAAGTAGAGGCAGGAAAAAAAATCCGAGAATAATTAAGGCTGGAGCGGAGTTGGACGTCCCGCTGCAGCTGGAGAGCTGCAATCTGAAGAATTTAACCTCGCACATCCGTAACCCCTTCAGATAGGTCAGGTTTTTTTTTAAAGCTAGCCTTAAACTGCTCCCCAAACTGTACACATAAAATAGCTGAGAGATCAAGTCACCGAGAGATGGATTATCCTCCGGCAGGGCAAATCTTGAGAGGGTCAGCTCTGCACATTTTCCTGTCTGTTTTCTAAAGCAAAGAGGGGTGGGGACATTTTGAGAGTAGGAGAGCAATATATACAATCTAGAGGTCCAGCTTAGGCAGTGGGGAAATCTAAAATTTGTTACTACCGGTTCTGTGGGCGTGGCGTGGTGGTGGTGGGGTAATGTGACTGGGTGGGCATGGCCAACTTTTTTAAAAAAAACTTTTAAAACCATTTTTTCTACAACCTCTTCGGCGAAGAGATTGTTAAAAAAATGCTTTTAAAAGGCTCTGACGATCCCAGCTGAGTTGCCTGATCAGCAGAGGCTTTTTTTTTCTTTTAAAAGCCTCTGACGATCCCAGCTGAGCCGCGCGATCATCAGAGGCTTTTTTTTAAAACTTTTAAAAGCATTTTTTCTGCCGAAGAGGTTGTAGAAAAAAATGCTTTTAAAAATAATAATAAAAAAGTCTCTGATGATTGCGCGGCTCAGGTGGGCATGGAGGCGGGGGGGCAGGGATTTTTGCTACCAGTTCTCCGAACCACCCGCCTCCATCGCTACCAGATTGGGCGATCTGGTCCGAACCGGGAACATTTCACCCCTGAGCTTAGGGAAATTTTTTTTACTGGAAGCACCAGGGTGTCCAAACTCCCATTTGGCTTTCCACCAATGCAGGGAATTGGAATCTTGGGGCTGTTTGACAACTGGGGCACAAAGACAGTGGCGCGAGGAAGATGTCAAAGAAGGAGTTGCGGTGGTGGCCATGCAGTGGTTTTCAGACGCAGAAGTGGTGACGTTTCTGTGATAAAATCAGAGGTTGTCTTCAGCCAGATTGGACGGTAGAGGCCACCTGTGGGTGGGCCCACTCACCCGCTTACCCGGTCGGGCGCAATTCTGTCCTATATCACTGTGTTTTTGATGCTGCATGTATGTGTGGATGGCACGCATGAGCAAATTGCCATGTTTTGTTGTCGTGGTCCGTCAACGGCCTGTGCAGCTAGTAGCTGATTCCGACAGCGAGGAGGCTGGTGTGGTGCTGCGCCAGCAGCCTGTGCAGCTGGCCCTCGAGTTGGACAATGAGGAGGCTGGAAAAGATGTGGTGCCAGAGGCGGGGATTCAGCCAGGGCCTTCAGAACCTCCAGAAGCTTCCATGGGTGAAGAGGAAGAAGAGGAGGAGCGTCTTCTCGATGCATGGGCACGCAGAGCTGCCAAAAGGCAGGAGTGGCTCCTGAGGAGGAGGTCTCCTCGAGAGTAAGGCTTGGGGCTAATTGGCCACTCTCTTAGCCTATTTAAGGATGGAAGACGACTGAGGCAATTTGCAGGGAACAACTTCATTCACTCTCCTTCGCGTCTTGATCTTAGTTCTCTTATCAGTTTTCCTGCAAATTGCTTCTGGGCTTTCTGCCAATCCTAGTAACATTACGATTATTTATTCTTTGGATTCTTGTAGGCTGTTAAGAAAGTTAATTAACAGTCTTTGTTTGAAAAAGACTGATTTAATTTAGTAAACTAAGGTTCGTACAGACTTTGTGTGTGCTGCGTTCGTTGGGTCCGAAGCTGGGGCAGAACATTTGTGATGCTGCACACAGGCGCTTTTTGTGTTCTCTCTCATATTTCCGGTGCTGGGCAAACCGATTGCTACAGTATGTGAACTCATCTCCGGATAAAGTAATTTTAGGATGTGTTGGGTCCCTCATGAGAAGATGATGTCTACTAGTCTAAAGAAGAAAAGGACTAGATAGCTGTCTTCCAATACTTTTTTTTTAAAAAAAACTTTTTATTAGTTTTAAAAGTAAAACAATGGACGTTGCTCAACGTCTCTGGTTTCTAACATTTGCGTCTAAATCAAGTTAATAAGTAATCTATTCCTTGATCTATATACAAGTTTACATATCTCCTATTTCATAATATATCAAGTATGCAGTATTTTACTTCCCAAACAACGATGCCTGTATTTAATAAAGCTATATTACATTCACAAATTCAATATACATTGATATATTGATATACATTGATATATACATTTCCAGACATTCGTTATCCCTTGTTTTTGGCATTCTCCCTCTTATCTAACCAATTATAAAATTTATTCCAGACTTCATAGTATGTTGATTCACTTTTGTCTTGGAGTTCTAAAGGAAGTCTCTCCATCTCCGCACAGCTGTAAATTTTGTGTATTACTTCTTCTTCTGAGGATATTTCTTTACACTTTCATTTTTGAGCAAATGCTAGCTTTACCACAGTAAGTATATGCAATATTAAATAGGTCATATGTGGTGGGAGTGCTCAAAAGCCAAAAGTTTCTGGCAGCAAATAAGGAGCTGGTTAGAAGAGATGTTAATCTTTAAAATAGAAGTTCAGCTGGAATTTTTCTTAGTGGGCATGGCAGATGGCAAATATGACAATAATGTAACCTATTTAATATTGCATATATACTGTCTTCCAATCCTTGAGGGGCTGTCCCAGAGAAGAAAGGGGGGTCAACCTATTCTCCGAAGCATCTGAGGACAAGGACAAGAAGATGATCGAAGAGAGAGATTCCAACCTAAAATCAAGGAAGAGTTTCCTGATTGTGAGAACAATAAATCAAATGGAACAGAAGTTATATTTGAAATTGTGGGAGCTTCAGCACTGGACGTTTTCAAGAAGAGACTGGACTATCATCTGTCAGAAATGGTGTAGGGCAGGGGTGGGTTCTACTTACTTTTACTACCGGTTTGCAACGGGGCCACACGTGTGTAAAAAATGGTCCTAAATCGCATTTTTCAGTACTCTGTCACTTTGAATGGTCATTAAATGAATGGTCGTAAGTCTGGGACTGCCTGTAGTTTGGCTTGATGAGGATCTTGATAGGGGTAATCGTGGGAAGACATGTCTTTTTTAACTCTAAGCAACTTGTATTTTTTTCCTTCCTTCCTTCCTTCCTTCCTTCCTTCCTTCCTTCCTTCCTTCCTTTCCCTTCCCTTCCCTTCCCTTCCCTTCCCTTCCCTTCCCTTCCTAGGGTCCTCCTGGTTTACCTGGGATCCCGGGCCTTCCTGGCAAGCGAGGACCAAGGGTAAGTCCAAGATCCATGGGAAATGGAGGGGAGGAAGGGGAGGTGGAACAGAAATCCACAGGCCGTTGAGCTTCTTCTCATCTGCCCATCAGCCTGCATGAGTTTACCAGCTTCCAGATGATAGGGCTAATGTCTCAAGCTTGCTTCAAGCTCACCACGTCTTCATCCAGACTTTGCCTTTTTTTTTTAGGGACCTTCTGGCCCTCATGGAAACCCTGGCCGTGCTGGACCACCTGGCATGAAGGTAAGGGAGGAAACATCTATGTGGGGGTGTATCTGCTAACGAAGAGCAAATTTTGAATGGGGGGTTGGTGTAAACTAGAAGTGGAGATCCCAAAGGTGAAAGTCCAGTGAAGCAACTGGACTTTCTTGTTTGTCTTTGAAGACGTTTCGCTTCTCATCCAAGGAGCTTCTTCAGCTCTGAGTGGATGGTGGTGGGGAATGGAAGGATTTATCCTCCTTGCAGAGAGCTGGTCATTTGCATCCTTTTTGAGGGTTGTTGAGGCCCCTTGGAGGTTTATCTCAGTGTCCCCTGAGTGGTGCAAATGAGTGTGGAGCTTTCTCGGAACTGTGGAAAGGACTGTGTTGTAGATCTTTCAACAATTCCCCAAAAAGGCTCCACACCCATTTGCACCACTCAGCTGACCCTGAGGACACAGATCAACCTCCAAGTGGCCTCAACGACTCTCTAAAAGGATGCAAATGACCAGCTGTCTGCAAGGAGTATAAATCCTTCCATTCCCCACCACCATCCGGTCAGAGCTGAAGAAGCTCCTTGGACGAGAAGCGAAACGTCTTCAAAGAAAAACCAGAAAGTCCAAATTGCCTCTTGAAAAATAGAGCACCTTTGGGACAACCATGACCTGGAGAACTTCCACAGACATTATTGTCCACACAGCCTCCTTCTCTGCTTCCGTAAGACACTTTTGAGGAGGTCAAGAGAAGAGAAGAACCGTCTAGCTCTGGGGTCAGCAACCTGGGGCTCTGGAGCCACATGTGGCACTTTGGGCCCTCTGCTGTGGCTCCCTGTCCGGCGATCCCACCACTGGCTAGCCCTGCCCCTCGCCCTCCCTTCCCAGTCACTTCTCGCCTGGCCTGAGAAGATAAGGGCAACGGCAGGGAATGGAGAAGCAGCCAGAGCAGAGACATAGAGATACAGAGAGAGGGGGAGAGAGAGAGAGATGGAGAGAGATACAGAGAGAGGGGGAGAGAGAGAGAGAGACATAGAGAGATACAGAGAGAGGGGGAGAGAGAGAGAGACGTAGAGAGATACAGAGAGAGGGGGGGAGAGAGAGAGAGAGAGACGGAGAGAGATACAGAGAGAGGGGGAGAGAGAGAGACGTAGAGAGATACAGAGAGAGGGAGAGAGAGAGAGAGAGACGTAGAGAGATACAGAGAGAGGGGGAGAGAGACGTAGAGAGATACAGAGAGAGGGGGAGAGAGAGAGACAGAGAGATACAGAGAGGGGGAGAGAGACGTAGAGAGACGTAGAGAGATACAGAGAGAGGGGGAGAGACAGAGAGACAGAGAGATACAGAGAGGGGGAGAGAGACGTAGAGAGACGTAGAGAGATACAGAGAGAGGGGGAGAGAGAGAGAGACAGAGAGAGAGGGAGAGAGGGGGGAGAGAGGGAGGGAGTGGGAGAGAGAGAGATGTCAAAAGGATTTTGTGGTTCCCAGTGTTTTTTAACAACTGGTACTCTGCCCTAATGACCGTCTGGGTAGGCGTGGCTAGGGGTGTGTGTCATGTGACTGGTGGAAGTGAGTGATATCGAGTTGGCCACGCCCACCCAGGTTTTGTGGCTCCCGGTGTTTTCTTTTCTGTGGGAAACGGGTCCGAATGGCTCTTTGAGTGCTTAAAGTTTGCAGACCCCTGGTCTAGCTAATGGATTTAAGCTTGTTCAACATCTCTGGAAGTTCTTAAAAAGGTTGGCGCAGGACAAAGGAGTCAACGAATTTTCCTTGGACAGGATCGGTCTAGATGACCCTCAGGGGCAATGTCCAATTCTAGGATTTCTTTCCAAACAGCTGGGCAGTCTTCTTTTGCCAACTAAGTAGAAGGTTTTGCAAATTTGGGACAGAGGGCATGGACCCAGCAATGTTTGTTCTAACTGCTTTCCTTCCTTTTCCGTTCCCAGCCTTTTCTTCCTCTCCCCTCCCTTCTTCCTCTCCCTCTAATTGTGTAATGTCTTTAGTCCGGTTGATGATTTTTTGGGGAAAAAAAAAAGAGAGAAATATTTCCACTCATCTGGCTGCCCGCCGGCTGCCTGATTAAGAATTAGGCACTAGAGAGAGATGTTGGCAGTCCAAAAAAAAAAAAAAAAAAAAAACCCAGGCAGCATTTAAAGGCACAGTTACAAACTCTGAAAAGGGGAGACGGTTAAGAAAACAAAAAAGGAAAAAATAATAATAATCCCCCAGCCCTCTCTAAACTCTCCAATTTATATTGATGTCCTTGTGAGAGGATTTGCAGATTTATGCTTTCTCGTGCAGTTGAATAATAATAATAATAATAATAATAATAATAATAATAATAATAATAATAATAATAATAATTGGTAATCTTTAGTGAGATTCACAGCCTTTGAGGCTGGTTAATAGCTCAGCAGCTCGAGTCCTAACCAAGGACCTAGGAACTGTTAAGGTATCGTCGGAGGATGTAAGCTGTTTCGAGTAGGGTGGTTATTATTATTATTATTATTATTATTATTATTATTATTATTAGTAGTAGTAGTAGTAGTAGTAGTTAATCTTTAGTGAGATTCACAGCCTTTGAGGCTGGTTAATAGCTCAGCAGCTCGAGTCCTAACCAAGGACCTAGGAACTGTTAAGGTATTGTCGGAGGATGTAAGCTGTTCCGAGTAAGGTGGTTTTTATTATTATTTTTATTATTATTTTTATTATTATTATTATTATTATTATTATTATTATTATTATTATTATTATCTCTTGTATTCATTAAACATGAAACTCAGTCAACTGAACATTTAAAAATGCGTCACAAATACCATTGACTGGTGCTAATGGTTGATATGGGTTGCTGCCAGCGTCCTAGGTATCAACCAAGTACCTTCTTAAAATGTACGATGTTCCAAGTAGCTCAGTTTTTCTGCAGTTCCGCTGGTGTTATTGCAGGAAGCCGCAATTTCTTGATGTGTTTTGTAAAATTCTTGGACATGATACCAAGTGCTCCGATGACAATGGGTATCACTGAGACATGTTTCATCCATAGCCGTGTAGTTTGGATGGCCAGGTCGCGATATTTCATGATTTTTTCCAGGTCTTTTTCTTTGACTCTGTCATCTCCTGGTACCGCGATGTCAATAAATTGTACGTTTCAGTTTTCGACAACGGTGATGTCTGGCGTGTTGTGTTCCAGATGACGATCCGTCTGTATTCGAAAGTCCCACAAGATCTTCACCTTCTCATTTTCTATAACTTTTTCCACTTCTTCTTATTATTATTTCTTTTATTCATTAAACATGAAACGCAGTCAACTGGACATTTAAAAATGTGTCACAAATACCATTGACTGGTGCTAATGGCTGATCCGGGTTGCTGCCAGCGTCCTTGGTATCAACCAAGTTTTCTTCTTCTTCTTCTTTTTCTTCTTCTTCTTCTTCTTCTTCTTCTCCTTCTTCTTCTCCTCCTCCTTCTCCTTCTCCTTCTCCTTCTCCTTCTCCTTCTTCCTCCTCCTCCTCCTCCTTCTTCCTCCTCCTCCTCCTTCTCCTTCCTCTTCCTCTTCCTCTTCTTCCTTTTCCTCCTCCACCTCCTCCACCTCCTCCTCCTCTTCTCCTTCTCTTTCTCTTTCTCCTTCTCCATCTTCTTCCTTCTCCTTCTTCCTCTTCCTCCTCTTCTTCTTCCTTTTCCTCCTCTACCTCCTCCTCCTCCTCCTCCTCTTCTTCCTCTTCCTCTTCCTCTTCCTCTTTTCCTTCTCCTTCTCCTTCTCCTTCTTCCTCCTCCTCCTCCTTCTCCCTCTTCCTCTTCCTCTTCTTCCTTTTCCTCCTCCTCCTCTTCTTCTTCCTCTTCCTCTTCTTCTTTTTCCTCCTCCACCTCCTCCACCTCCTCCTCCTCTTCTCCTTCTCTTTCTCTTTCTCCTTCTCCATCTTCTTCCTTCTCCTTCTTCCTCTTCCTCCTCTACCTCCTCCTCCTCCTTCTCCTCTTCTTCCTCTTCCTCTTCCTCTTCCTCTTCCCCTTCCCCTTCCCCTTCTCCTTCTCCTTCTCCTTCTCCTTCTCCTTCTCCTTCTTTTAAAAAGTATCCTGTACGAAAATCGAAAGCTTTAAACTTCGCTCCTGGCTCTCTTGCTAATCCCACCTGGCGTTTGTGACGGTCGGTATGAGAACCTGCTGGGTCTGGGTAACGGTCTTAATGGGACAAGACAGCTAACATGAAAAATGAACTTATTTTTTAAACTTTCCCCTTTTGGAGCTAGGGGAAAGCGGGCATTTTGCCAACTCTGTGTCACCTGAGGCCCACGGCTGGAAAAGCCTCATTAAAATGATTTAAAGTTTAAAGAGCAGAGGCATGGAAAGGAAGAGGAAAGCAAGTAGGAAGAATTTAGCCCTTGATCTGTTTTGAAATAGAGAACTTATTGCTGAAGTGGAAAGCTTTTGGGAAAAATCCATGCAGGTTGGACAGGCACATACCGGGTTTTATTAAACTTGGGTTACCGTGCGCCCATCCTTAGTAGGAGAGGACGGAAAACACGAGAGTGTGATAGTTAGGTGGTGGGCCTGCAGGCTGAGCATCCTTCAGAACTGCCACGTTGGGTGAACATCTGGCTACGAAATGGGTTGAAGCTTCCTAGAATTGTCACTGTTTTGATAATGAGTCACATCTGGACTCGTTGAAAGTTGCACCCAGAAGACTGGTAGGGAAAAAGGTGTTTTTTTGGGGGGGGGAATTGGCTGTGTTTTAGATCTTGAAACATCCTTGGGGCTCTCTGAGTTTGGCGGTTTTCTCGCAGACGTTTCATGACCCAACTAGGTAACCTCATCAGTGTTAGAAGGGAGTGGGGATTCCCGTGAGGAGGAGGAGGAGGAATGGGAGAAGGAGGAAGAAGAGGAGGAGGAGGAGGAGGAAGACTGTGAGGTCCTTGGTGCTCTCTGAACTTGGTTGTTTCCTTGCAGATGTTTCATTACCCAACTAGGTAACATCATCAGTGTTAGAAGGGAGTGGGGATTTCTATGAGGAGGAGGAGGAGGAGGAAGAGGAGGAGGAGGAGGAGGAATGGAAGAAGGAGGA